AMTACAATTTATAGACATTYRGTAAACTGAAAATGGCSGCCTCCCAGCCCCTAAAGCATAATGGTGAACACTGGGCCTTTAATGTCCCYATAGTCCAAGCAYTTTCTAAGGGTTTCATCTTCTGGATAAGACCTTASCCAAAGTTCATCCTCTYTACAAATTGCACCCAGGTTTATTAATTCTTCACAGCAGTTAATTGGGATTGATTTAAACTGTCCAAGTTTGATCACAAGATTATAAATTATGATTTTTTTGCTCATAATAACATGAGTMTATCAAGGCACTTGATAATTTTACTGTCAATGATAAATTATTATAAATTATTATTAAAAATTTTGTAAAATCTATTCTATTGTTTCTTTCACTGACATTTGATTCTGACTATCTGATTCTAAGTTATCATTAAAGGTTTCTTTGTTACTAAGACCTTCTGAYGTATTGTTTTCTCTAGTATTTTGAACAATACTTTCTTCATTATCACTATTAGCATTTATTACATCTGTATGGGAGTCTTTTGAAGATAAATTTGTGTTTGTATTGACCATGACCATCGAAATTCTTTCATTGCCACTATCAGTATTTCCAACTAAGTTATTGTCTTGCAGTTTTTCTTTTTCAATCTTTCGTTTAAGAGCTCTTCGCTCTCGATCCTTATCTCGTCGCCGTAACCTTTCATAATCATCTTCCAATTGTCTGGAAAGTCTTTTGCGAATTCTGTCTTTTTCTAATCTTAATTTTCTTTTCTCTTCATCTTCATTCTGGCGTGCTAATCTTTGTCTTACTCTGTCTCTTTCTCTTCTTGAAAATAATTTTGATTCTTCTGTGTTGTTCTTCTTTCTTTTATKTTGTACTTGAATGCCTTTGTTTTCTTCATTTGAAATAGTTTCATCAATTCGCAAATTACTGTGGTTGTCATTGTTCGGTAGTTTTGTTTCAATGTGAAGCTGGAAATAAAGTTATTTCAAAAGATCAAACTGCTAATTCTCAAATGCATTTTCAAACTTTCCTTATTCAGTAGTTTTTGCAATAAGGTTCAAATTTGGTTCAAACTTCAAACAATTGTTCCGTCATCACTATTACTGCATTATTATATTAGAGCAGGATCTTTCATCTGTGTGGAAAAATCCTCTCCTTTGCAGGGTATAGGCACTAGTTCATTAAACTCAGGCCTGTTTACGAGTGTTTAAGAGCAACTATGAGGAGTGAGGGGAATGCTATAACTTTAACAGGAGAAGTTAATATGGATAATTTATTAAACACCAATTAATTTCAATAACACTGTCATACATACATATGTACGTCAATAATTTGGTAAAACTGTATTATTAATTACATTTTTTTGCCTGTAAACTTCTTAAATGTCACATTAACAATCTTAAGAGCTTGTAGAATAATCTGAATTGYTAATTACCTCTACTTCAAAAGACTCTTTGTCATTTTTAATGTCTTCTGTCTGTTCTTCAACCATTTCCTCTCAAGAATTCACACAAACATTTAGAAAACAACGTGTGGAATAATATGGCGGTCACGTCTTGAAACATAACAAGGGGACTAGTAACTAAACACGATAACACAGGAATCCCAAATCAAAGACAGAGACAAAATGCTGTTGTTATGTTAGGCCGTAATAATTTCCCTATCTATCTAATTTGATTATTCGTTCATCTAGTCTGATATTTTACGTCTGAAAAATATGGCATCTTTCAAGTGACTTTGGAATTCAAAGTAATGTGGATGGATACGATTATGGCAGTTTTCATAGTTGTGGTCAAGGCTTAAACCCTTATACTATTTAATTCACCCTTATACGACATCCCTACCAGTAAAGTACAGTAGAGCCAATAGCCCTTTTCACAGTTATAAAACAAGTTGTGCATCAGYACAGGGCCTGTGGTTTTGCGCCAAAGCGGGCAACAACTTGTCCTTTTTTGGCTTGTTCATTTTTTCATTCCATTTTTTTGCAATGTCAGGAAAAAAGTTTTGGTCGAAAAAAGTCATAAATAATGTTGACCTGAGTTCTGACATTTGAGGGCTGCAGGAAACCACCTTGGTTTTAACCAGAAAAATGTCAATCAAATCAGTATAAAAGAGCGGAAACTGCTCAGAGATACCATTTGAAATATAGACAAACATCTTTTTAAAGATAACCTTAAAACAATTGTTTTGATAATAATTATTAACAGGATGTGCTAGGGAGAATCTACGTAGCACTCAGTTGATGTAATATATTCATAAAGATATAATACAAAACACATAATAC